TATTAAGAGTCATATGTTAGTTGAGTTGCGGAGACGCTCAATAGGGTAATCACGATGTGGGATCCTGGCTTGTATCAGGTGTGTGCCACACCAAGAGGGGGACGGATTCTAACGACACTGTGAGGATCCAAGTTTACATGGGACCTCCATGTTGGAAATTTACTATTCATGACTTGCGGCGACAGTGTAAGGTAGTTTTGAACATTTTTGGCTCAATTTTGTCCGCTCTTCATGCAGTTGCAGCAACTGGAATCTCGTCCATATACTCTTTCTATGACGTTTCCACCATGATAATTCAGTACAACCTTTATTTCTTTATATTCACAAATTTTGAGGACATAATTTTTCGCGAAGTCGGTGAATTTCCTCGCTCAAGTCGCCGTGCACTACATTCAACTAACACTTCCACCTTTAAACTTAGAAAGAGTATCTCAGAATAGTCAAAACTGTTCCTCCAAATAGAGACAGGTACCAACTTTTTTCTTTCGGAGATCAACTCTAGTTGCAAGATGAAGGGCAACGGATACGTCTCTCGTCTTAGGGTCATTGCTCTATCGGTCGGACATAATGATTGGAATTGAGTGAGTGCTTGGGAATCGGCTTCAAGCGATGATATTTGCTGCCTTGATTGCCTCAAACTAAGTTACATAATTCAGACTTACTCGTTTGTCGTAAGATAGAGAGTGTGGAAGGCAAAAGGATTTCATTTCCAGCTTTACTTGTAATTCACAAATAAATCGATTATAACTTAGGAAAATCAGATATATTTGTAGAGGTATGTGATTTCTGACTGCTGATAGGAGTTATAGTTGATGACTGGAGTAGGGTTTATACTGCTGGTGATCACTTGCTTCAACTGACCTTCACAGCATGCCCTGGAATGGACTATGAAAGCCAGAAAAGAAGCTTCCCGACTTCTCGGCATACACCATCAGGGTTCATCAATCGCTTATCTGTCGCCATCTACTTCTCTACATAATAGGAGGATTCAGAGGATCACCAAAGCGGGTACTGACCAGAAACACAGAAATATGTAGACGTAGCTTTCACCTCGGATTCGTCGTAAGTTTATTAGGAAGAGTCTTGAATTCGATCACATGTGTCCAGCATCCATTGTAACAAAGCACTCCTTTCATTTCTGTCACCTGAACTTGTACCTTCTTACCAGCTGGTGCCTTAAATCAAACCACTCTGGAATCGATACATTTCTTAAACTTTGATCATTCACCAACTTTAATCCAATCATTGCACATCGCATAAGTGTCGCGACGAACAAAGTTCGTGGCATTGCCCAAAACAACCTTCTTCGATTTCCATATTGCAGCCGCTGTCAGCAATGCCCCACACCCAGCCGGCTAAAATCGTACTGTCACTGGCAATTGCCCGTGCTTCATCCAATTTGGTTGGTTTTTCAAGCATGAGGAACTGAATAAAACTTATTCACGCGAAGGCTACACAATGCACCACCGTAAGCAGCCGGGCAAATGCAGGCATTACAGTTTTTTGGATTCCATTTTCCTCCGTTCACACATTTGGCTCCTTTGGTTGCACAAATAGCTGCATTATTGAAAAAAGTGACTGGTTTGATTTAAAATGAAACTATTTTGTAAACAAAACACATACTAGCTGATGAAAAGACATGGATCAGGATATTCTTTTGGAACTACTGCAGCGCTTGAAAATTCTCAGTAGGCATCAACTCACCATTATACTTATAGTGAGTGTTGATGATGCTTATGTCGTAAAACGAAATCATATGCGATCCCAGCGTACGGAGGTATCTGGCGTTCTTTGGTTTCATGGAATTTCCAGTTGTAGCGAACCTGGAGGAGGATGCAGTACTCTAAGAACCCCTCCCTCCTCATTACTCTGCGATAGCTTTTTGGGAAAGAGAACTTACGATTGAGAATCATAGTGCATAACACTGCCATATTCATAGGGAGTGTAGTTAACTGACTCTACCGTTGTTAGCTTGTTATAGTTGTGTCGACTTCCTTCCTGAAAAGTAAGGGGGCACAGTAGAGGGCTGTGATCATAACGCCCACTGCCTGATAGACGGACGCGATGGGACAGTCAGCTTTGGCTATTGCGCTGTATGCATTATAAACTCTTGTTCTTTGCATGGATTGCCCATAATAAGCAAATTGTTTATGATTGAAAGGTCTTACCGGCACATTGGTCAAGTCGACTGTAATGAAAGAATCACGATCGTGACGACTTTGCGTATGAAATATCCCGAGAGCATGCATAAATTCGTGTGCGATGATTCCCATCTAAAACATTGATTTACAAGGTTCAATAAATGTAGAATTAAACTAGAGGAAAAGTAGGAGGAGAAACAAGCACGTAGGGGCCCGAAACACTGTATTTTCTTGAGTATAGTGTGAGAAGGGAAAAACAAAGACAAAATCACGCAAATTCTATTCTCAGTCTACAGTAGGCACAATGCTTCCCTTCAGGACGACGACTGCTGATGACTGCAAATTGCTAGATCCGGAAAATCATGTAACACCTGAGGGGAACAGTTCTCCACATCCTTAAAGGAGAAATCCGTTTGGAAGAATAGGAAGAAATTGCTCCGCGATCATTGGTTAGCGCCACACACTCCGCTTCTAGGAAGCTGCCTGGAACAATTCAGGTTGCGAAATGAGAGTGGAACGGATAGTTTCTACGCTCGTATGAGGGCTCCGTCAGTTCCATCAAAAGAACGTACCGTGTTGCAGCCGCTGCCTAACGACAACCCTTGTTCCCCTCCGCTCATTCCAATGTTCGAGTAGCATCCAGAACCGCTGAACACCTGAATACGATTCGCAGCTGTTGCGCTCTCAACAAAGGTGAGACATGTGCGAGCAGCGAGATAGGCGAGAGTCTTTTTGACGAGCGCCTTCATTGATTCCCCTGAAATGGAAAGAGCAATCTGGTTTGGTTGGGCAAAGTTGCCGTTCGAATGTTTGGTATGAGCACACACCGAAATTCGCTTCAAAGTAGTAGAAAACTTTCTTGTTTGTCCATATGGGATAAACTTTAGAAGCCTGGCGCTTTTGGCGAGTTGTGCGGTTGCTCAATACAGATTCGAGGGCAGCCAGCTGTTCTCTACAATTCATTGAAGTTCCAGGAAAGTTGCTTTTATCAACAGAAAGTTTCTTCAATTTTTAGTTCGTTTTTGAAGTTTTTATTCTCTCAAGGACGTTGGAAATCAGCGAATCCATCAGAGTTGAAGGTATTGTCACTGAAAGCAAATTCGTTACAAATCTGTCGCATACCAGCTGGAATGATGTTCAAACTTACTCCGTAAGATTGATATCTCCTTCGTACAAGTAATCGCTGACTCCTTCGATGCGATTTTTTTCAAGGATTGAGCCACCTTCGGGAAAAAGAGCCATGTTTGCTTCGACTGTTTTCTGGAACAGATTATTTGTTCTGTTTATGGGGACTCCCTGGTTGGAAACTTTCCAACATCTTCATCGGTAATCGCTGCCGTTCCTGGAGGTGAAGTGTTCACATCAACAAGTTGGAGGTTTCTTAGCCTCGCACGACGTTGCTCAAGATCGATCCCCCGGAGGGTCTGAAAATTCCATGATTGAGGCTGTCTAGTGTTTGCAAAGTTCTGCCTGGGCCAAAGAAGCTCTTCCCCTATCCGTGAGAGCGAGGCAACCATCGAAAAGCAGTGGAATGACCAAGGAAATGAAAGCCACAGATCGGGTTCGTTTTGAGATCATTTCCCTGCTGGAATGGTTTGAAATTTCAACTAGGAACGAAGAGTCTCAATGAAAAAGCCTCGTGAAGTGTAGAAGCAAGGTGGTGCTTGAGCTTATCGGATGATCACCATTCGCTCACCCTTATATACTACACTGAGCAGTCACTGCAATTGAAGAATCAGTATTCAGGCTTTTACGGTTTGCGTGTCCTCTCGCCGAGTCACAGACCATTTTTAATCCTATCAGAATATTTTGAACGCTATCAGATTATTTTTAACGCCATGATAAAAGTGTTCGTCTCCGTTTGTGCGTACTGTTGAAGTGATAAGCAGCTTTGAATTTTTTTTGCTCTGTAAGAACAACAGCGCTACACGATGCTACAAGTCTGTACTCTCTTCGTCACCACGGGTTAGAGGTACAGTTCATGACAGAAATGGTTTTTGAGAAATCTTCATTTGATGAATTTGTGGCGTTTCCATAGACGATATTTGGCACTGTCAGATCGATAAACGGCTAAGATAGACCGTTATAGTGCTCAAAGGTTGTCCGGGTTGAATGCCACCCCCATAACGGACGAGTTTCAATGGCGTTGTATAAGCCACTCCTTCTCAAGGGACTCCCATGTTGGAAAATCAAAGAACCAGATGTGAGCTATGACTACAGTGAAAGCCAGCTGTAGACAATTTTAGGCTGATAAAGTCAATTCTTAAGGCAATTACAACAACTGAAATTTCTTCCGAATGCTCTTTGAATGGCATTCCCGCCATGGTAAACTCGTACATCCTCTATTTTCACTTCATAACATTCCCTTATTTTTCGCGAAGTCGACGGATTCTCATGCCACTGATGCATTTTTTTAAAAAACAATTCCGCTTCTCAACTCAAGAAGGTAAAATTATCATGAACTGTGCCCTTAACTGTACAACCCCAACAAACTCTCCCAGAAAATTCGGCCAAAGTGTTTTGTTTCGTGCCTATATTTTGAGAAGCAATTACATGGAGTGAAATCTTGACAGACTTCCAATATCGTCCTCATCATTTCCTCTCAATTATTTTTTCCTCTTTCCTAGGATGCTTCCTATCAGGTTAGAGTTGTAATGCATACGTTTAACGCTCTGAAATAATATTGAATATTATTAAAGGCACTGTTCACGAAAAAGTGGTTTCGGAGATTTGCACATGGTTTGAATTCGAAGCCCCATCTGATACCATTTGTGCAGGAATGAGGTCGGAAAACGGCTGGATAGGGCACAATAAGGGCAGGAACAGTGGGGGACGGGAGGCCTCCGCCCCTCGCTAGGCTGACTACGAGTTCTAATTGTCCTTCACCACATTCGCAATGGAGCGAAGTTGGTGAAAAATCGATAC